AGAGAGCAATGGATTAAGGCAGGAAGAATAACCAGACAACCCAAGCAGTCAAATCTGGTTATCCCAAATCCCAGAGCCACACCACAGGGTGCTGGTTTCAAAGTGAATCCTTCCCAGGATGGTTGAACGAGGTCAGCTCAGGCAATTCCATCTCTTCCCTGGCAAGCAAGGTGTAACTGGTATTTTGGGAACAAGATAACGGGACAGGGCACAGGCAGTGGTTCCTCTGGGCACTGCTCCTTCACTTACAGTGCTGTGCTGCCTGAGGACCTCCTGGGTCACATTCTGCACACAGAGAGTTAGAGCTTGTAACCCAAGAGATGAAACTGTGCCCAAACCTGTTGAGTCTCTCTGGATTTTCTGGCTCCCCACAGCGAGTGCCACAATTTAACTGGGTGTTGAACAAAGTATTAATTATTCCTGCTCCATTTAAACCTATGACCTGATAATTTCCTCCTTCTTCTTGTTATAGGCACTTGTCCCCAACTTTTCATAGACTCAGTCACAGAATCATTCAGGTTGAAAGAGACCTTTAAGTCCAGCTGTCAACCCATCACCACCACCGTGTCCACACTAACCCGTGTCCCCAGAGCCACATCCACATGTTTTTTTGAACACTTCCAGGGATGGTGACTCCACCCCTGCCCTGGGCAGCTGTGCCAGTGCCTGACCACCCCTTCCATGAAGAAATTTTCCCAATATCCAACCTGACCCTCCCCTGGCCCAGCCTGAGGCCATTCCCTCTCCTCCTGTCCCTTGTTCCCTGGCAGCAGAGCCCGACCCCCCCCAGCTCCCCCCTCCTGTCAGGGAGTTGCAGAGCCAGAAGGTCCCCCCTGAGCCTCCTTTTCTCCAGGCTGAGCCCCCCCAGCTCCCTCAGCTCCTCATCAGACTTGTGCTCCAGCACATTTTGTGCAGCACTGACCATCTTCCACATGGCACCTTCAGCTGTCGTTCTCCCAGATGGAAAATTTACTTTCCATCATCCCCCTTCCCTTGGTGGAGGAGGTTTTATTTGTCTGGTTAATCTTGTGCCTGTTTGGTTTTTTGGTTAGATTTTGGTTTTTTAAGTTCTGCTGAAAACCCTTTGAGCCAACATGGGGAGAGCCAGGGCCTCTCCAGGGACAACATCACAGCTGCACATGGAGCAAACCTACATTTTATCTTTTCCACTTTTCTTATCAATTCCCATTTTTTTTGCTGTGCTGTCTTCAGCCCCAGCCAAAGGAACCAGACACCTCTGAACACAGTTGGTAGGTAAGCTGGCCCTGGTACAGATACCAGCACTGATCCATCCAGTGAATTCCTGGATTTTAGTGCCATGAACACCAAAACCACCTTAAGCCAGCCTGGAATCTGCTCCTGAATCACAGCGTGGCCTTCACCCTCTCTCCTCCCAGGAACCGCCAAGCAGGGGGGCAAAAGGAGTCACCAACTCCCTCCCCAAGCAGCCCAAGTCCATTTTGGGGAGTTTTCCCAGTGTTTAAAATACAGGGGACAGACCCCCTCATCACAGAGCCAAGAAAACAATCCAATCCCCATATATTCATCACTCATATAATTTCTGTATCTCATGATATTGCCCTAAACACAAAAGATAGTTTTATACAGATTTTTATATTTTTTTCTTAAAGAATATCAACCAACCACAGTCACCAAATACAGGGGGTGAGCACAGAAATCTGGTTTTCAGGACAGAGAACAGCACAGGGTCATACCCAGCACTGATGAAAGCAGGTGATGGAGCTTGGAACCATGTGGGCAACACAAGTTTACTACAACTTTACCAACACTTTGTAATCCCAACTAGGAACAGGAATGCCAGGTTTGTCTGAACAGAGGCTAAAGGTGAGCTGTCCAGTCAGGTGTGGGACCCTACTGTCCTCCTGTGACACTACACATGTGTTTGAGAGGAATTAAGCACACGTGGTAATTGAGCAGAGCTAAGCCAGCAGCTCAGCTCTACTCTCACTTTCTGCCACTAATCCCCCGGGATCCCCAGGCAGGTTTCTCCCCAGGAAGCAGGATGAGGACAGAGAGCCCAGGCCACATTTCTCAGTACCAGTGTCCCAGGTCACAGCTTGTTATCAAAATAGTCCCAGCTCTGCACTGGACAGAGGGGAAACCAGAGCTCCTCCAGCTACACAGCACAGGGAACAGCAAAGTCTCCCATCTCATACTTGCTCTGGGGACAGGTTTTGCTGTTTCTTAAAAACAGACATGAAAATCAGACCTGTGAAATGGCCTCTCTGGGTGCACAGCTCCAGCCAGCAAGCAAGTTAAAAACACTTCCACAGACTCTTTTCGTCCACCCCAAAATGCTCTCCCAGTAGTCAAGGTACGTGCAGAGTTATCCCAATTTGCCAGTCCAACACCCATCAAAGCTCAAACACCCTGAAGGCAGTGAGGGAGCACTGATTCCTGCAGACACAGCCTGTGAGAGTCACTGATGCTCCTCCTCGTCAGCACAAATCCAAATGGCTCCTCACCACCCTCTGTGCCCACTGGAGCCCACCTGGGCTCTGCAGAGCAGCCCTGGAAAACAACACGGGTTTGGGGGATCACTCAGGGTAAGAGGAGCCAATTCAGACAATTCCCCATGTGAGCAGACCTGAAGGACCCAAGGACTTCTTCAGCAAATCCAGAGTCTCCTCCTTCCACCTTTAACACCCACCCCAGGGCTCACCCAGCACTCACAGGGACACAACACCAGGAATTTTATTTTGATTCAAGCAAAACGGTCAAACCTAACACACAAACTCTTTACCTTAATGAAAAGATCTCTAACTGGGACAAAACACCATCAGCCAGGCAAACATGAAAGCACAAAGTAACGTAGTGATCTCCTCAGCTCTACCTCCACAGCACAAGGACTCAGCACCTGCTCAAAAGTGTCTCATCCCCTCAGATGAGATCAGCAAAGCCTGGAATAAGAGTGTGTGTGGTTCTGATCTCCCCTGAGCTCCCTAGGCTGGATGGCAGCTGAGTCAGCACAGCCACACCAGCACTGCTGCTGCCCTGCCCTCAGCCCTGAGTGAGGAACTCAGCACGGCCAGAGCCTCAGGACAGCAAGTCTCTGCACTTGCTATTTTTGTGGGAAGAGACAAACCAAAATAACTGTGCCTGGCTCTGGGGCAGTGTTGCTGACAGGCTCCCACAGCCCCGGGCTGGGCTGCAGCTCCATGGCCCCTCCAAGTCTCCCCAGCATCACCCACAGGCCAAAAGGGGAAGGTGAAGCCACACACCCACCTCTCCAGGAGACCCTTTTCCACACACTCACCCAGATAAAGGACTCACATCCCATTATGGATGTTCCTGGACCATCAGCCTCCACAGCCAGCTCACTGCAGGTGAGACCAGCACAGTGTCACTCTCTGCCCAGATAAACAAGTGTGCCCAGGAACTTCCCCCTTCTCCTCAGTTAGATGTGCTCTCCCCCTGCATTTGCATGTTCCAGAGGTGGAATCTTAAGGGACAGAGAGTTCACAATACTTAGAATCATAGAATCATGGAATGGTTTGGGTTGGGAGGGACCTTAAAGCTCATTCCATTCCACCCCCTGCCATGGGCAGGGACACCTTCCACCAGCCCAGGTTGCTCCAAGCCCTGTCCAACCTGGCCTTGGACACTTCCAGGGATCCAGGGGCAGCCACAGCTTCTCTGGGCAACCTGTGCCAGGGCCTCCCCACTCTCACAGGGCAGATTTTTTTTCTAATATTTAATCTAAACCT